GGGGGGCGTTGGGGGGGCTGTTTGTTTGTTTGTTTGTTTTTTGGTTTTTGGTTGTTGTTTTTTATGTGTGTTTTGGGGGGGGGGGCTTAACACTTTCATGTCACTTTAAAAGTAAATAAATTCAGCGTTTCAAGCCATGGGCCAACATCACATCATATAAAACATTTTACCTAATAATGTGGGTCAATTTAGAAACAAATTTGTGAAAGAGAACGTAGATCAAAGAGATAAAAATGTAAATGTGCAGTTTCCAAGAACACTACAGCTTTGGACCTCATCAAATTTTGGCGGCCATTTTACCGCAAATTTGATCTCAGACACCAGGCGACTCCCACCTCTTATAATTGTATCTATCTTTACTTCTAGTCAAGATAGATGGGTAGTTCTTTTACCAAAAGCATGGCAAGTGAACAGACTTTAAGATTATACCAATAACCTTACAAGTCTCAAAATTGACGAGCGCCTGATTTCAACGTGTCGTGACACATTTCGCTACCTCAGAATTACAAAGTCCTTTCGGCTCAGTATCTAGTTTTGAAAAATTTGACGTCAAAGATTTTGAGTTCACATAATGTCAAGCTTTTTCGAATGGAATTATTTCAGTATTTTGATGACGACTCCGAATAATCTTACAATTTTTGATGAAGCAGATAGAACACTAGATTTCTTACCTCGTGGCCTTAGTTACTCAAAACGAGCAAAATTGTCAAACAGAACCTTGTAACTCTGGGGTAACTATATGTGACTGTAGTTCTAAATGATTAATAAGTCTCCATCGGCACAATTTTGATGTCTACGTGCTGGCCTCTAGCCAGATTCACGCACGCTAATTTGTAGTGCAGTATATTTGACTCCCCATAGACGTGAATTTGTGTAATTTAAGGGGGCTCTCGTGGTTTAGAAGTTACGGTGTTGGTCTCTTATTCAATAGGTCCAGGGTTCGAACCTGACAGGGACGAAAATATTTTCACTAAAATGTTCTCCTTTCACCTCCTTTCCTACTCTCTAACCATGTTCTGTCGTCAGCTCTCGTTCTCCACCAAAAAAAAACCCAGATCATTCTAGATGCAGACTGCTTCGAGCCTGCCTGCCTGCCTGCCTGTCAGAGACAAAACGGGACAAATGGAATACAACGTTCCAGTGGACATACACGTTGTCGGCCAACTGTTCAGATGTACTTAGCCCAAAACTTAGTGTTTTTTTAACCCTATCCGTACGCCCTGGGGGTCATTTTGTACCTCCGGGGTTGTATTCTTCGCATTTTAGAATACTTCTAGTACAAAAATCTCTTTGAAACTTTCAGTATTTCTCAAAAAATCATTTTAACAGACTGCTATGCAAGGCGCATGGATCAGATTAACGAGAAATTTCCTCTTTTGAAAGTGGTGGCACAGAGTTCCCCACGTCGTATGGATACGATAGTAAAACACGACGAACGGATAGCTTTTTAATCTGTGGCATTGGCTGCATGTGCTCGAGAAATGTTTGTCGAAATTCGTTTCTAAATTTAGAAAAATTCAAGAAAAGACACATATCGTCGATCAGCTGTTCAGATGTACTAAGTCGAAAATTTCGCTTTTTTAAAAATTGCAGTTTCTTAATCCGCAGTATCAGTTCAAGTGCTCAAGAAATATTTAATCGAAATTCAAATTCTAAATGTTAAAAAGGACAAAAAAAGATGCATAATGTTGTACAATTGTTGGTAAAAGAATTATGCAGATGTTTCCCTCTACTAAAAAAAATTATGTTCATGGGCTTAGAACGACGATATACTGAATAGATCCAAGAATCAAACTCACGCCTTTGCGAGCAACAGAGAAGAGCATAAATACTGCACCACAAACGCCGGTTTACACTCGCCCATAGAGACAAAAACATTCAGAGTGTCCCACTCTTTGCATTACAAAATTTCTTCGGAAAATGGAGACGTCTTTTCTTTTGTTGATTTTTCTTCCACTTTTTTTTGGGGGGGGGGGCTGTCTTTTTTATTACTGGTTTGGGGGAGGGGGGGCATAAAATACAGCTCACTCGCAACAAGTGTGATCCCGGGTCAATTTTTTAAAGTGCTTTATATCTATACGATCACTCACGGAAAATTTCAAACATTGATGATACTTGAGAAAAGCTTGTTTTTTTTTATCTTCTGGAAATGAATGCCTTTTATACTCGCTTTCAAAAGCAACAAACACACAGACAAAACAAACAAACAAATAAACAGACAAACAAACAAAAAAATAGATTCTCTTTCCATCGGCCTTTTGCTACTCAAGTACGTAAAATCTTACCCCCGCTCCCTACCCGGTACTTCACATATCAAGGTCAGTACACATAGACGGTCAAACATGTTCTATTACACTCTCTCTCTCTCTCTCTCTCTCTCTCTCTCTCTCTCTCTCTCTCTCTCTCTCTCTCTCTCTCTCT